CGTATGTGTACTGGACACACTTTAGGATCCCATGCGCTCTCTGAATCATGGAAACCTCATACCTTGGTTTAAATTCAGGGGCTTAAAATAGTGCATGGGTTTTCACGACAATAATTAGAATAAACTTTTGTCGGGATAATCTGTTCCAACGGCTACACCTGCATTACTATACTCCGAATGCACAAACTATTTCCAGTGGGAGATAACAACCACTACATAAAACAATTGTCATGAACCCGCATGCCTGATAGTAAAAAAATCATTAAAACAGACTGTTTGATTGTCAGAGTAGCTCTTTTATGGCATTACTGCATCTGCACTGACACACTTCTGTATCATGTGCATGTACTCGCATTATGCAAATTATTGTGAATTTAATGGTCAATATTAAAAGTGGTTGCCCTATGGAGCGACTTACCCTCACCAAAATATTACAGTATGGAATTTGTACAGTGGTACGGTATACGTCGTTAATTCGTTCCAGAAGGTAGGATTTATACCGAAAATGACCTATACCAAACGATTTTTCCCATCAGAAATAAAGGGAAAGGAAATAATCTGTTCCATAGTATAATAAATGATATTTTATATGGCATATTATACATTAATGGGGTTGTATAAAATAATTTAGACACTACTTATTACTAAAATGCATACATAAATTAAAATAACTCCCCAAACAAATTCCTTTGCAGCGTCTTTGTTGGCACTGGCCGCCTCCCCATGCCTCACAACACTATGTGTGTCAGTCATCTTATTAAAATTATCAAACCAGCCATGGCTGTCTTTAAACACTTCACTAATATCTTCACTCGTTCCTGGCATGTCTTTTAAAAGATCAGCATGCAACATTTTTGCCTTCTCGAAAATTATAGCCTCTGAAACACTATCGCCAGCTAACTGTTTTTCATTTATCCATATTAATAACAATTTTTCTACTTGCTCTAATGTCTGTGATCTTTGTTTTGATATAAATTTCACCCCCTTTGCAACGTTAGCTAATTTGATGGCTTTTTTTTCACAATCGTCGACATTGTTGTTCTCGGCATACGGTATGCCACCGCAAGATCAGTGACGTGCATGCCGCTTTCATACTTTTCTATGATCTCTTTTTTCACGTCAATAGTGATCCTAACAATTTTCTTTGTAGCTTGGCTTTTCTCACTAACCTTCTTAGGACCCATCTTGAATTAATTCGCAAAAAAATCACGTTAAAATGACAAAAAACACGTGAAAATTCACGGAGAGTTATAGCAAGGATTGTGCACTGAACGAGATCTGCAGGCAGACTGAGGAGCGGCGCTATGTTTCAGTCGTTAACGGGGTATATGTGGGTACGCGGTGACTAATCCCGACCCATACAAGTTCTAGCAAGCGCGTCGTATCCCAAGCAAGACGTCGTATCCCAAGCAAGACGTCGTATCCCAAGACATTTTTTCGCGTCAAAACATGACGTATACCAAATTCGACGTATTCCAAAGCGGTCGTATACCGAGGTATGACTGTACATCCCTAGTTCAGGCCTTCACCTTAGAGGAAACACTATCCCATGTCTCGCTTGAGAATGGCTACGGATTAAATTGTAATAGGCTAAATGTCTATGCCAGCTCACCTTGTCCAGTGGTCATGTGACACTGGCAATTACATCACGTGCCTGCCTATTCTGAGAGGTTCACGAAGGGCGTGGCCTACCGTACCACCCATGTATCCTAAGGCAACAGTGACCCAGCAACATTCAGAAAGTTTAACAACCACGAATTATATTGTAGTGCGAATATATGCACCATTTATCCGTAACGCAACCACACTGGTAAAACTGCAATGCACACCCTAAGAGAGTTTATGTTTGAACAACTGTATCAATAGGACTGAACTCTTCATCTCATTCACAGCTGTTTTCATTCCTTTGTGTTTAATATATTAATAATCAAATTAACAAATTATTGTAGCCGTTTTTGAGTCCACTGCTGGATGAAGGCCTCATCATGCCATGTTGATCATGGAAGTTTGAATGATGCTGGAAGGCACTTGGCAAGGATGGCCAATGTGGTGGTGGTGGCGGCCCACTGGCTGTTTGAAGGACGTGTGGATCTGGGAGAATGCATCCTGCATTCGTAGGTTCAGATTGTGGAGCGTTTGTATGCCCATTTAATAACACGTAACAACACTTATGAAATACAATTATCGAAGGATGTTTTATTTTCAGCTTCATTGTGTCTAACGTTAGTAACATGTCACACAGTCGTAAACGCCGAGTGATAAACGCCAAGTGATAATCACTGCTCAGTGGTGTTATATTGCCCCCTGCAGTTACATGTGCCGATATCAAGCCTACAAAACACTCCCTAAAGCCCTCTTCGTCGTGGTGAACAGACCTCAACATTTGGCATCTAGAACAGCATATCTCGATGCAAGTGAAGCTCTAAAAATCAGGATGCACTATACCTCTCGACATGGTATATTAAGTCAAAATCAGTATTTAGACTCGAGGAATCCGATGAGCTATGAAGCTCTTTTTCACAGATGTCTCGTATGGGCGGGTCAGCAAGTTACAACAGCAAACAATATAAACACATTCCTGCGGAGGGAGCTGGTAGGAACGTTGGGTTCCTCGGTCAATGGCCAGGGTCAACGGCGGCGTGGTGTATTCCGCAAATATGCCCGACTGTGAGGGCGGGCACAAGCCGGCGTGAGTAGGTTAAACGTTGAGTTTTATAAGGGGACCACGGGGTGACCAGCCCCTCCCAACCCAGCCCCACCCGCCACCTAGCCCCTCCCCACCCTCCCCACCCAGCCCCACCCTCCCCACCCAGCCGCTCCCCACCCTCCCCTCCCCACCCAGCCCCTCCCCACCCTCCGCTCTCCACCCAGCCCCACCCCTCCCATTGTTGGATGCAGGACGGACGGACACAATAATACCCTGTGGGCTGGTGGAACCAGGAGGTTCCTACCAGTAATATGTCCGTTGTATCAATATTTGGCAAGGCAGCAAAAACAACAAAACATCTCTCTGGCCTTTATATCCATATGCTATGAAGAACGACCATTGCCCAGAACGTCACCTATCTATATATATAAAATCGCAAATCTGTTTGTCTGTCTGTGGGTCGCCGGACCATACGCAGTTTCATTGGACGGCGGTTGCCCCTGGCAACCGGTAGCGACGCCTTCGCCGCGGGGTGGACGCCATTTTTAATTCCCGTTAAAAATAGGCGCCCGCATTAACACGCAACTCTGAGGTAAATTCATCAAAGTTTCACGTCCTCTTCACTCCCCCCACCACAATGTGTGCAATTACTATTATAGGGTCGGTAGATTATAAAATTATAGCGATTAGACAGTATTATTGTAGCGCGGGGGGGGGGAACGGCACCCGTACCCAGCCTCTGCCGGGTGGGCAATTTAGGCGAGGCCGGAGGCTCTGCACGCTGCTAGGCCTCGACACCCACCACGCGACTCTGAGGTAAATTCATCAAAGTTTCACGTCCTCTAGAGAGTGGTGAGGGAGGGAGAGTGGTGAGGGAGGGAGAGTGGTGAGGGAGGGAGAGTGGTGAGGGAGGGACTCAGCCTCAAAACGAGTAACTGGTGTGGCGTATTAACATCGCCACTGGGGAGACAAAGGCGGCCGGGCGTGGTGGATCCAAGTCCCGAGCGAAGCCGGGTAGTACAGCTAGTTATATCTGTATAACCTTTCAGGACCACAGTGTTATTGGTTATTGGTCAGTTGCAGTCGAGATAGAGAAAGGGAAGTGATTTGGAGAAATGTGAACCCAACCTCTGCAGGGAACCATAAAGAAAGGAAGACCTCAGAGAATGCCTTGACGACGACATAAAAGATTGGTGCCAGAAAGGCGTGGCACTGCTTGAGTATCTTGGCATAAGACAGAGGAAAGTGGAAACAAATGACAAAATGTGCAGTGTACACTTACGGACTATCTGCTCATGGATCGTGCTGATGCAAACATGGTTGCTGGTAGGAACATTGGGTTGCTCGGTCAATGGCCAGGGTTAACGGCGGCGTGGTGTATTCCGCAAATATGCCCGACTGTGAGGGCGGGCACAAGCCGGCGTGAGTAGGTTAAACGTTGAGTTTTATAAGGGCACCACGGGGTGACCAACCCCTCCCCACCCAGCCCACCACTCCCACCCCCACCCAGCCCCTCCCCACCCAGCCGCACCCTCCCCACCCAGCCCCTCCCCACCCCACCCTCCCCACCCAGCCCCTCCCCACCCAGCCCCTCCCTGCACGACGGACACAATAATCCCCTGTGGGCTGGTGTAACCAGGAGGTTCCTACCAGTAAAACAGCTACGTAGCCCAGTGGACCTTACCTGGGAAAATTTAAATAGTTTTAGTTTAATTGCCAAAAGGTATAGTTACTGGGTTACATTTAGCAACCACGTGTTAAGAATGAAAACTCAGTTTTTTTTCATCCACATTTAGAATCAACATGCATACTCTTTGGTTCTTTCGGTAAAGTCACGTAGGTATAAAATAAAATAATGTAATCACGACGTTTCGGGCGCAACACAAGCGTCCGTCATCAGGTGGGACAACCACAGCAAGAAACAATTGCTGAAGTGGGCAAAAGGGCTGCTGTAACAAGAGGCTATATCGGTAAGAGAGGGGGGAGGGGCAAGGGGGGGGGGGGAAGAGATACAGAAGGGGGGGTAGGGGGAGGGGAGTGCTGCGAAAACGTTTAGAGGACGAGCAGACAAAATGCTGGAAATTTCTACGTGATAAGCCACTTCGTTGAGCTGTTATATGTGATGGCCAAGTCGCCTCTGAAAAAAAAGCTATGCATAGCTCAGTGGGGGTCTGACCTGCCCAAAAAAAAATTTGCTTACAGTTTAGTTTTGAGATTTGTGAATCCAATCTCTGATGAAACTCGGAGGGATTTCTCCCTCTGTTCTGGCACCGGGCTGAGGGCGCGTGCACTTGGTCACGTGACGCGTCACGCGCCCTTCCGTCGACGGCAGGAGTCGAAGCGGCGCGTCCCTCAAATCCGCGATCCCGTGGTAAATTCACCGCGATCCCACGGTGAATTCACCGCGATCCCACGGTGAATTATCCACGATCCCACGGTGAATTATCCACGATCCCACGGTGAATTATCCGCGGCGAGGCGAGCGAGAGTGCCGCTCTTGTCTGTGAGTTTGAGCTTCGTATCCCCGCCATTGAGTTGGTCCCGGCTTGTCGCTCTCTGTGCGTTCGTTATCATCGGGTTCTGGTATCCACTTCTTTGTGTTTAAGCGATTTTAAAACGTCAAGCGGCTAGCAACAAGCATCATTGAACGTCGTGCGCTGCTCAGGGTCGCCTTTGCTCACGGGATGTGGGGGGGCGACGTGGCGAGTATCGTTCGTGGGGCTGTACCGGCTTCTCTCACAACGCGCGGCAGCTTCGTTACCGTGGTTTTTAAATCCTTTATATTAAGTTCACTTGCTTGCTTACGACCGTGCAAACCTTTCGGTCGTTTTTTAATCCACTTCCCGTGATCGAATCGAGCTTACATTTTGCACACAGACTCGTTGTGCGAGACAATTAATGTTCGTGAAAATTTGTTTCAAAAATTTTACACTTTTTAGGACAAAACTATATTTAATTACCAATTGCTTAATGGTGCAATGCAATCATCTGACCCATAGGTGGCAGCCATCTCAAGCCAGAGGACGAGAGGACTCTAGCCGCCACGCATATAAAGGATTTATAGTGAAAAACTGTGTTTTTACTGGTTATACTTATTTGGATTATTGTAGTGGGAAGAGCGGCACGTGAGCGGTCTACATTGGGTGCAGTCGCGCGTGGCCAGGGTGTAAGAGTAGGCTAACACACGTTCTCGAGCAGGGAGTTCGGCAACCTGCGGTTCTTTAAGGATTGCTTCGTGACGTTATTTATTTAGGGCGGTCTTGTATTCACTACGTACATTGAGACTCTTGATTTTTTTTACAGAATTCGAAAAAAATTGGCAGTGCTGAGGTGTCAGGTGGCTCGTGGGCTGCAGAAAAATCCTGTCCCAATTGGGGTCTCAGCCAGGGCTGAAATGATATTTAGTGCTATCAAGATGTATTTAAGTCTGGTTTGAAAATGCATCTCTTTTAACTGGCCTTCCCTCTTTAGCTTGGTCGGTTGCCCTGGTTCTGTTTTTGTTTCATGCTTTCCCTGCGTTGCGCATTGAGATCCTAAGATGGAATGCGCATTCTAAATTTGAATGATTCTTGATGATATGTATTCTTGCACCGCATAGTCAAAATCAAAAGAGAGAAATGAAAAACGACTACGCATATGACTCATCGATTAGTTAATGTGTATACCCGTAATGTGAGCATTACATTGTTGGTAGAAATGTATTCGTTATTTATGCTAATTTTATGGCTTACATTACTGCTAATGTGACCAACAAATCTGAACAAAATACAATACAAACGAGACGGTAAATAAACGAAACTATAAAAATAATCCGTCTTTGGTTTGAAGTGCGAGTTAAATTCATGACAATTCATTGAATGGTGTGAAGGTGAATCCTACAAATAAATGATGGCTGGTTTATCCACGTCTTCAACTCTCTGAATGCTGCCTCCCCCACCACATACACCCTCCTCCTGCTGCTCATTCCCTTTCCACCTCTGTGAGCTCGTCAGGCTGGTGACCGCTCTTGCAGATGGCCATGGCTGTGGCCGTTGAGCAGCGCATCTCCTTCCTGGGCTTGAAGCCGCCCCGAGAGGTTGAGGTCATGGTGGGCCTTGTCCGAGATATGGACGCCAGTAGCTTCTGCCTCATACTCGATGGTGAGCTGTGTATGTGTATGTATGTTGAACGTCTTTCGCACCGTACATAGCCAACCGTGCCAATGGGATCTGCGCACGAGCACCTGGTGCCTGCTCATTTGGTGTAGTGTGATTACCGTTTAGTCGAATTTTGCCAACCGGGTCGAATCAATCTTTCCGTCATGTGGCTCAAGGTTTTCTCTATGGGGCGATGACGTGGCCCGTTGGTGGCGTGTTCGACGCTTGTTAGAGAGGTCCGTAGTTTGCATCGGGCAGGCCTCCGCAGTTATTACTGTGAGTATATGAACGGTAAATTACGATTAATAAACCTGCAATGAACGTTAAAGATCCCATGGCATTCTAAGAGAGGAGGCCATTCTGTAATGGCGTCATGGTCCAATTTAGCCATATTTGAAAATTACAGTACTTGCAAATGTCTTAATTGGGATTAAATTCCAATTAGCTCAACTGGGGTTATACATAGCAATGTCGCCACCGACTAAGAAATACTCCACACTATGTGAAACATAGAGCCTTTGTGATAGACTTGCGCTTTAAGAATGCTGCGAATACCAAATGTTAAATAATTGTTACATGATTAGTCTTTGATGACTGCGGTGCCTTTGTCATTAACCTTCCCTATATCCTGCATAAGCATCCCAATCACCACAACCTCGTTGTCTGCTGGCACGAATTGGAATCACTGGGGGCTTGTTATCTGCTCCACCACGAAGCCCTTGCTATATTTTCCATGCCATGTGCATCACATAATATAATTGTTGCTTGTTAAAAGCATTTTCCCCAAAATAGATTTCTAAGATAAACCGAAGAGTCACAATATTTGTATTTATCGTATTATCCTGTTTAGAGTGCACATTATGCGACAGTACATCACACTCCATTAAATTGACCCATTTGTACCTGGCACCACTCAAACAGCCTGTTATCTTGAAATTATTAACCACGTTAATCAGTCCCTCCAGAAAAACGCGGAGTTTTTTGGTGATTGTTGCGGGCAAAAATCGTTGATTATGCGGCACGTTTTCTTAAAAAATGCGATGGAATATGCGGGATATTTATGCAATTTTATGCGATTAAATTGCGGGAACTTGCAAAAACTGCGGTTTGATGAAAAAGAGAAAAAAAAGTGATTCCCCCAACACCCTATTCACTAGGCTACTACTTTAATGTAAAGAGTCATTTCTTATTACTTCCTATGATAAGCAAGCATACTACATCACAGAAAGGGCTGGGAATATTTAAGTTCTCATCTTGTTTTATTTCAGACCTTAACAAACAGATGGCTCAAACTTACAGAACATTGAGTCGAACAAGTTCTGTAGCTTTACAAAATGAATATGCTACAACTTCTGTAAAAATGAATAAATAAAATGTAAAAAAATAAAATGTGTGCTTCCTGTTTTACAGAGGTAGCTATACAAAACAGACATCTTCTGTTAAAATAAGTGTTTTTTTAGTGCACAGTAACGTAAGCAATACAGTAACAGTACAGTCTTACATAACGTTCCCATGGCAACAGGGGAAATGGCTGCGCTTGTGTGAAGTAAACGCAACATTTTTCAACTTTCTGCTAAGATATATGTGACTTTTTGCAACGAAAATGCGGGGATTATGAAATCATGCAAGCCCGCATATTTTGCGCGCGGAAATCTGCAATTTATGCGGCGAAAGTGCGGCGTATTTGAAAAAACGCGTTCCCCGCATAAATATGCGGACTTTGGCTGATTTTGCGTGGAATCTTGCGATCGCATAATCGCGTTTTTCTGGAGGGACTGGTTAATAGACAGAGTTAAAACCCAGCAATCCATATCTGAGTCATATGGCTGGAGATTAACCAGTTGTGCAGGTTATTTGATTGCACTAGTGATGTATTTTGTCTCCAGTTGGGTGGAGTTACAAGCAAGTCCTTGGCTTTCTAATTGAGGGAGGGAACACAGCAGTGGCATAATCATTCACTGCAATTCAGTTCAAGAATTATGTTTTGGTCTAATTTGTAAGGATATCAATGGGGGAAAAGATATGTGACCATACTCCACTCCATTGGTCAGTACGGATTATCTTCTTGGTTCTTTCGGTAAAGTCACGTAGAAGGGAAGTAATAAAATAATAAAAATAAAACATAATAAAACAATTCTCACGACGTTTCGGCCACAACGCAAGCAGCCGTCCTCAGGTGAAAACCAGGTCCGTCGAGGCGACAGAGTCTGAATAAAACAGCACACGAGCTTGGAGCATATATATAAGCTGGGCGCATTGACAAAGGAATTTGCATAGCAAAAGGAATTTAGCATATTTATGGGAAATGCAGGAATGTGATTAGTACTGCATATGCATGTGCATTATGCAGGATTAACAGCATCAAAGGGAGCTGCAGTTACTGCTGCTGCAGCAGTTGCTGCAGCATTAGTGAACATTAACAGGTTTAAGACATTGTTTTGCCCATTATAGAGTTTTTTTTGGGTTAGATCGCATAAATATATAAATGTGTCATTAAAACCCGCCACCACCCAACACAGTAAGGGTTGTCACGTGAACAGAACATGCCAATTCGTCACTAGTACAGCACACCGGTGTGTTGGAGAGCCAAGCCACAACATTTACAATCAGAGTTTCGCCAGTAATTACAACTAGCTTCATCTTCTTGGTTCTTTCGGTAAAGTCACGTAAAAGGAAAATAATAAAATAAATAAAATAAAACATAATAAAATAATTCTCACGATGTTTCGGCCACAACGCAAGCAGCCGTCTTCAGGTGGAGAACAGGTCTGTCAAGTAGACAGAGTCTGAATGGCACGCCCCAGGCTTGGAGCGACTATTTATGCTGGGATGGAGGGGCGAAGAGCGCTTGATATGCAAATTATTTTGTCAAAGCGCTCTTCGCCCCTCCATCCCAGCATAAATAGTCGCTCCAAGCCTGGGGCGTGCCATTCAGACTCTGTCTACTTGACAGACCTGTTCTCCACCTGAAGACGGCTGCTTGCGTTGTGGCCGAAACGTGAGAATTATTTTATTATTTTTTATTATTATTTTATTATTTTCCTTCTACGTGACTTTACCGAAAGAACCAAGAAAATGAATCCCTGCAGTCACGAAAGCTTTAAATCGAAATACAACTATCTTCATTTGGTGACAGCTAAATTTGTGGAGAAGTCTAACTGTTTCGTTCCTTATATGTGGGGACCACGCTTCTACACTCTTGCACAAAGTGGGGGGGGGGGGATTACTGAGTCAATGTACATTAAGCATGTGCATTTTGCGAGCCCTTTGAACTTGTCCTTCCTGTCTATTGTGTGTATTAAAATAGCCTACCAGCGGTAATCCCTATTGAAGTATACTGCCCTTTATCGGCATGCATTCAAATAATGTATTATTTGATGATTCGCAGCACTAAGGCGGTAGCTATCCGAACGGTTACAATTATTTTTAGTTATTTCGATAGATTCTCTAATTAGACTTGGCCAGTAGTAGCTAGTTTTGCATAGAACTTCAACATTATCAAAATCAATTGAGTGTCCTTGTAGGCACGTATGTTCTGCTACTGCTGACAGTTGTATTTGGGAGAATTTAATATTTTTCTGATGTTCTTTTAGTCTCGTGCTGATCATTCGTCTGTTTGCCCAACATAACATTTTCCACACGTGCGGTTAATCCTGTACACACCTTCTGTTGATAACTTAGGTAATACATCTTTTGTATCAGATATGAATTTCTGTATTTTATGTACTATGCCAAATCTGACTCAGATGTTTTGTTTTTCCAAACATCTAGCTAGTTTATCAGTTACTCCCTCAATGTACGGTATTTTGTTTGTTTTGATTACTTAGGCAGTTTCAATGCTCATGTTATTTGATTTGGTTTTGGCATTCAATGCCCTGTTTTGTGCATCATTTGCAGCGCTTCTTTAAAGATATTAAGCTTAAACCTAATTATATTCTCAGGCCATAGTCCTGTGTGTGAGAGACTCTCCCATTAGCTGGCGTGGCGTTGGGTGCTTTTGCAGTAGTGGCCGCATCTCTGGAGGGGCGCGACTGCTCCCGAGATGTGCAGGCGTTGGCCTCCTCACTGCCGCTGTCTCGTGAGCACCTGAGCCATGTCATCTCGGGGACATACACCATCCTACAGACCGCTCTGCGACTCTCCACGCTCAAACAAGAGGTTAATTATGGAAGCATGACATACACTATAAACTATTTACCAGGTGAGGCCCATTGAGCTATATAGCTCTTTTTTAGAAACAACCAGGCCACAAATGATAGCTCAACGAAGTGGCTTATCACATGGAAATGTATAGCAGCCAAATATTCGTAAATGCATGTTGATTCTAAATGTGGAGGAAAATACTGGAGGACCCGGAGAAAAATCCATGCGACTACAGGGATAACATGCAGACCCCAAATATGTAAGCGTCAGGGTCTGGATTGAACCCACGGCTTGCTGTATACTAGACACAAGGTATCTTCTTGTTTCTTTCGGTAAAGTCACGTAGAAGGGAAGTAATAAAATAATAAAAATAAAACATAATAAAAACAATTCTCACGACGTTTCGGCTACAACGCAAGCAGCCGTCTTCAGGTGAAGAATGAGACACTACCAAGCTAGGAGCTTATATATACGCTGGGTTGGAGGTGCAAGAGCGCCTTAACAAAAAGAATGTGCATATGAAGAGGAATTTAGCATATTCATGGGAAATGCGTAGGAGGTGGGTGGGGGGGTTTTCATAGTCATATTATGCCCATGCATTATGCAGGATCAACAGCACCAAGGGGGGGTGCAGGGAGTAGCATTAACAAAGGAAAGGAATGTTGATAGTATGTAGCTGCAGTTACTAAACAACAACGTAGAAAACTAAAGTATAAACTACATAAAAAACTAAAGTATAAACTGCATAGCACCATCAGTATACTTACTCTACTCTACAATAAGCTGAGTTACTAACAGCAAGTAATACATTACAATTCTACGTCGTAAAAATTATATAATATGCTTCCATCTAAACTTTATTCTCTTACATCACACGAGCATACACCGTACTATATACTGCCATAGATAAACCCAACATTAAATTATATCAGTTTAACACGTAGGCTTTCGCGACCAATGTTATTCATAATCAACGTTTTTGGGTTTAGATCTCGTTATTTATAAATGTGTCGTAACCCTCCACCACCCGACACGGCCAATCAGTAAAAAAAAGTGTCACAACATTTACAATGTGGCTTCAACACACCGGTGGGCTAAAGCAGTGAACTATTTGTCTTTGTCAACGTGACACTTTTTTACTGATTGGCCGTGTCGGGTGGTGGAGGGTTACGACACATTTATAAATAACGCGATCTAAACCCAAAAAACGTTGATTATGAATAACTAGTAACGTGCACTAAAGACGAATTACCTAAATTATCAACAGAAGGTGTATATCGGATTAATTGTGTATGTGGCAGATGCTATATTGGACAGACAGGGCGTAACGTTAGTGTAAGACTAAAAGAACACCAGAGAAATATTAAACTATCACAAACACAACTGTCGGCAGTAGCAGAACATGCATGCCAACAGGGACACTCAATTGATTTTGACAACGTGGAAGTGTTGTGTAAAACTAGTTACTACTGGCAAATACTAATTAGAGAATCGATTGAAATTGAGAGAAACAGAAATAACTTTAATCGCTCAGACAGCTACAGGCTTAGTGCGGCCTGGAAGCGTATTATTAAATAAGATACATTACAATTACTTATAAGGGAAACAACCACTAACTGATTGCTAATGTAGCATAATCACAATAAAACATATTCCAAATGATTACTAATCTACAACTCGCATTGTAACAATAGCCTGATTACTAATCTAGTATATAATTACAATCACCCCCCCCTTGAATCTTTGCACCTGATGAGTTAATGAGTTAATGATGACGTCACCCTGCTGCTGCTCTATATAAGAACGGGAGACAGCAGAGCCTCACCATTCTGGCGAATTGCCCGATGATGCTGGTTGCAATTACCAGCGAAACGTCGTACTCAAATTGTAAATGTTGTGGCTTCAACACACCGGTGGGCTAAAGCAGTGAACTATTTGTCTTTGTCAACGTGACACATTTTTACTGATTGGCCGTGTCGGGTGGTGGAGGGTTACGACACATTTATAAATAAACGCGATCTAAACCCAAAAACGTTGACTATGATTAAATTATATACTGTATTGCTATAAACCACCCTATACCTTATACATTTTAATATAACACTATGTATTATTCTACTCACCCTAATGTGTATCACACTGCTATATGTTTACTATACAATTACGATACTATATATTACTTTGTACATTGTATTAAGCATATAAATGTTATACTATTTGTTATTATACGCTGTACCATTGACCGTCGTGTCAATGGGTGAGTCGTGGGGGGAAAACTTGCAGCGGAGCAAAGAATCCATTCCCTGCGGAGAATACAATGCCAGTGAGTGGAACGCGGTCTGAAAGTCACCGTAAACGTGAACACAATCAGTTAAGATCCGAAATGGTTTATTACGTCCTTCCAATGATTGCTAAGCCAGAATCCATCTTCTCGGTTAAAATTGTCTCTGTGTTTGTATATGTGGATCGCCTCATGAACGAATCTCTCATGATAGCCAGATGGCTTGCAGAGAGCCTCTGTCTTGGAGAAGTCAATGTCATGTGAGCCCACTGAGTTGTAACAGTGATCTGCCACGGGCTGAGGTGTTTGTCCTACCGTGTTTCAGGTCTGCTTTATGTTCACGGATGCGGTCCGAGACATGTCGTTTGGTTTCCCCAATGTAACTGCTACCACAGAGGCAACTTAGTTTGTAGACGCCAGGGTACTGTATGTCTGGAACCACATCTTTTACAGACGGTACCAGATCACGGATTTTATGTACTGTGTTGAATCGGACCTGGATCTTGTGTTTAATCAGGATTTTGGAGATCTTTTTTGTGACCCCAGCAATGTAGGGTAAGGTGATGGTCTTGAAAGGCTCCTCAACAGGATCCTTCTTGATGGTTGGAGTGATGGCTTTGCGGATTGTGTAGTCGGAGTAACCATTAGCCTTAAGAGCTTGGCGTACGTGTTTGAGTTCACTGGCAATGTGTTCCTGGTCGGAGATGCATTGGGCTCTATGATATAGAGTCTTGATGAGGGAATTCTTCTGGGATGGATGGTGGTGGGAATCCGGTTTTAGGTAAGCATCCGTATGGGTGGCTTTCCTGTAGACAGAGTGGCTCATTGAACCATCAGGTCTCCTTTTGATTAGGACATCCAAAAAGGGTAGCTTGCCATCTTTTTCGACTTCCATGGTGAATCTGATGGCTGGGTGTATGGAATTGATGTGGTCGAGAAATTGGTCTAGAGTAGGCCTGCCATGTGGCCAGATGACAAAAGTGTCGTCTACGTACCTCTTCCATAAGGTCGGGCGTAGAGTGGCAGTCTGGATGGCGTCAGTCTCAAATTTCTCCATGAAGATGTTGGCTACAACCGGAGATAGGGGGGAGCCCATTGGGGTGCCCTCAGTTTGCTTGTAGAAAGTTCCATTCCAGGTGAAGTATGTATTGGTTAAGCAGTGTCTCACCAGGGGGGGTACTCCAGCATTCAGTCCTTCATGAACCAAGTCTTCAATGATTGCGATGGTGTCAGGTACAGGAACCTTGGTGAATAAGGAAACCACATCAAAACTGACAAGCAGGTCATCTGGGGACAGGGCAATCCCCTTGATTGTCGATACCAGGTCAGTAGAGTTTAGTACCGCAGAGGTGGTTTTTCCAGTGAAAGGCCGTAGGATTTCAGACTAAAAACGAGCCAATTCATAGGTGGGGGAGTTGATAGTAGAGACAATGGGACGAAGAGGTGTATCTTCTTTATGTATATTTGGCAAGCCGTATAATCTTGGTGGCCTGGCTGCAGAAGGTTTCAACGAGAACTGTTTGGTCTGATCAATTAATGCGGTTGAATCAGAAATGATTTTGTTGGTTTTAGTGACGAGGCTGTTGGTGGGGTCTCTTTTTATTTTTGTATAGCTGCCATCGTTGAGTAGTTCTTGAATTTTGTTGTTGTATTCTATTTTGTCCATGATGACAGTGGCATTGCCTTTGTCGGCTGAGAGGATGACAATGTCATCCCTCTTTTTTAATTGAGCTAATTCAAAACGCTCATCTTTGCTGATGTTGCTAGCTGGCATCTTAGCGTTTTTGAGGGTTGCAGAGATTTCAGATCTTGCTACGTCTGCAGCGATGTGACTCAAGCCCTTGAGAGCCACATCTACTCGAGCAATTATATCATTAACTGGTATGTGTCTAGGTGTGACTGCAAAGTTTAGTCCTTTAGCTAAAACGGATTTCAGACCTTCAGAAATAGAACTGTTACTGCGATTAATTACGACTTTGTTAACATCTAGCTTTTCAATGTGTGGGTCCGGTTTCTTGTTTGAGAAGCGGTTGAATTTGGAAATCAAGTTGTCCTTACATTTAGTCGACATAGCGGCAGCTGAAGAGGCAGTCATTTTTTCTACACGATCCCAATCCGATGTGGACATTGTTGCACTCAAAGATAAGTGTGATTTGTAGAGTGTCTTGTCTAACTGATCTAGTTCGGTGCGCGTAAGTCTGATATTCTCTGAGATAAGAGCTAAGCTAGTTCTAGACAGAATTTGTTTCGCATTAGAAGAAGTTACAGCAGCAGATGTTAGTGTACACATAACTTTGAGATCCTTCAACAAGCTCCGTGATAAGAAGGCTCAGCTAATCGAGTCTCTCACCTTTCTGAAGAGATGCCGCGACTCTAAGGTAATACCAAACGCATTTACACTAACATCTGCTGCTGTAACTTCTTCTAATGCGAAACGAATTCTGTCTAGAACTAGCTTAGCTCTTATCTCAGAGAAAATCAGACTTACGCGCACCGAACTAGATCAGTTAGACAAGACACTCTACAAATCACACTTATCTTTGAGTGCAACAATGTCCACATCGGATTGGGATCATGTAGAAAAATGACTGCCTCTTCAGCTGCCGCTTTGTCGACTAAATGTAAGGACAACTTGATTTCCAAATTCAACCGCCTCTCAAACAAGAAACCGGACCCACACATTGAAAAGCTAGATGTTAACAAAGTCGTAATTAATCGCAGTAACAGGTCTATTTCTGAAGGTCTGAAATCCGTTTTAGCTAAAGGACTAAACTTTGCAGTCACACCTAGACACATACCAGTTAATGATATAATTGCTCGAGTAGATGTGGCTCTCAAGAGCTTGAGTCACATCGCTGCAGACGTAGCAAGATCTGAAATCTCTGCAACCCTCAAAAACGCTAAGATGCCAGCTAGCAACATCAGCAAAGATGAGCGTTTTGAATTAGCTCAATTAAAAAAGAGGGATGACATTGTCATCCTCTCAGCCGACAAAGGCAATGCCACTGTCATCATGGACAAAATAGAATACAACAACAAAATTCAAGAACTACTCAACGATGGCAGCTATACAAAAATAAAAAGAGACCCCACCAACAGCCTCGTCACTAAAACCAACAAAATCATTTCTGATTCAACCGCATTAATTGATCAGACCAAACAGTTCTCGTTGAAACCTTCTGCAGCCAGGCCACCAAGATTATACGGCTTGCCAAAGATACATAAAGAAGATACACCTCTTCGTCTCATTGTCTCTACTATCAACTCCCCCACCTATGAATTGGCTCGTTTTTTGTCTGAAATCCTACGGCCTTTCACTGGAAAAACCACCTCTGCGGTACTAAACTCTACTGACCTGGTATCGACAATCAAGGGGATTGCCCTGTCCCCAGATGACCTGCTTGTCAGTTTTGATGTGGTTTCCTTATTCACCAAGGTTCCTGTACCTGACACCATCGCAATCATTGAAGACTTGGTTCATCAAGGACTGAATGCTGGGGTACCCCCCCTGGTGAGACACTGCTTAACCAATACAGTCTTCACCTGGAATGGAACTTTCTACAAGCAAACTGAGGGCACCCCAATGGGCTCCCCCCTATCTCCGGTTGTAGCCAACATCTTCATGGAGAAATTTGAGACTGACGCCATCCAGACTGCCACTCTACGCCCGACCTTATGGAAGAGGTACGTAGACGACACTTTTGTCATCTGGCCACATGGCAGGCCTACTCTAGACCAATTTCTCGACCACATCAATTCCATACACCCAGCCATCAGATTCACCATGGAAGTCGAAAAAGATGGCAAGCTACCCTTTTTGGATGTCCTAATCAAAAGGAGACCTGATGGTTCAATGAGCCACTCTGTCTACAGGAAAGCCACCCATACGGATGCTTACCTAAAACCGGATTCCCACCACCATCCATCCCAGAAGAATTCCCTCATCAAGACTCTATATCATAGAGCCCAATGCATCTCCGACCAGGAACACATTGCCAGTGAACTCAAACACGTACGCCAAGCTCTTAAGGCTAATGGTTACTCCGACTACACAATCCGCAAAGCCATCACTCCAACCATCAAGAAGGATCCTGTTGAGGAGGCTTTCAAGACCATCACCTTACCCTACATTGCTGGGGTCACAAAAAAGATCTCCAAAATCCTGATTAAACACAAGATCCAGGTCCGATTCAACACAGTACATAAAATCCGTGATCTGGTACCGTCTGTAAAAGATGTGGTTCCAGACATACAGTACCCTGGCGTCTACAAACTAAGTTGCCTCTGTGGTAGCAGTTACATTGGGGAAACCAAACGACATGTCTCGGACCGCATCCGTGAACATAAAGCAGACCTGAAACACGGTAGGACAAACACCTCAGCCGTGGCAGATCACTGTTACAACTCAGTGGGCTCACATGACATTGACTTCTCCAAGACAGAGGCTCTCTGCAAGCCATCTGGCTATCATGAGAGATTCGTTCATGAGGCGATCCACATATACAAACACAGAGACAATTTTAACCGAGAAGATGGATTCTGGCTTAGCAATCATTGGAAGGACGTAATAAACCATTTCGGATCTTAACTGATTGTGTTCACGTTTACGGTGACTTTCAGACCGCGTTCCACTCACTGGCATTGTATTCTCCGCAGGGAATGGATTCTTTGCTCCGCTGCAAGTTTTCCCCCCACGACTCACCCATTGACACGACGGTCAATGGTACAGCGTATAATAACAAATAGTATAACATTTATATGCTTAATACAATGTACAAAGTAATATATAGTATCGTAATTGTATAGTAAAGATATAGCAGTGTGATACACATTAGGGTGAGTAGAATAATACATAGTGTTATATTAAAATGTATAAGGTATAGGGTGGTTTATAGCAATACAGTATATAATTTAATTTTGGGTTTATCTATGGCAGTATATAGTACGGTGTATGCGCGTGTGATGTAAGAGAATAAAGTTTAGATGGAAGCATATTATATAATTTTTACGACGTAGAATTGTAATGTGTTACTTGCTGTTAGTAACTCAGCTTATTGTAGAGTAGAGTAAGTATACTGATGGTGCTATGCAGTTTATACTTTAGTTTTTTATGTAGTTTATACTTTAGTTTTCTACGTTGTTGTTTAGTAACTGCAGCTACATACTATTAACATTCCTTTCCTTTGTTAATGCTACTCCCTGCACCCCCCCTTGGTGCTGTTGATTCTGCATAATGCATGGGCATAATATGACTATGAAAACCCCCCCACCCACCTCCTATGCATTTCCCATGAATATGCTAAATTCCTCTTCATATGCACATTATTTTTGTTAAGGCGCTCTTGCACCTCCAACCCAGCGTATATATAAGCTCCTAGCTTGGTAGTGTCTCATTCTTCACCTGAAGACGGCTGCTTGCGTTGTAGCCGAAACGTCGTGAGAATTATTTTATTTTATTATGTTTTATTTTTATTATTTTATTACTTCCCTTCTACGTGACTTTACCGAAAGAACCAAGAAGATGAATCCCTGCAGTCACGAAAGCTTTATATCGAAATTTAGACACAAGGTAGTTAGCATCTTCTCACTGTGGCGCCCAACAAACGAGAAACTGAACAAACAAGGACCTGTGGAAAAGAGCAATGCCCTCGTGGATACTGGTAGCACTTGAGTGACACTCTAGGTTATATGAACTCAGTTCAGATGGAGATGCATTGGTTTTTGCCTTGGGGGTACAAAGTCTTCCTTTACAAAAAGACAACCAAGAAATACAATTGAATTGTTTCCCTCCTCATATTAATTCCCTACTCAACTGAGCTTGGAGTCGTGCTTATCTCCATTTGGTATCCTGAGCTGTTGAAAACTTCACAATTCTACGGAAAGAAGCAGTTTCTCAAGAGAGCAACCCCTGACCGGGATTTGCAATTGCAGCCTTCAGATTTAAGAGTTGAGTGCTCTGCTGCAGTACTACCTTACTGGATTGTTCAGAATAATACTTTCAACTTTTGCAATGTAACTGGAGATGCAAAACCTACTTCAATTGAAAATAATGTCAACTTTGGCTTGTCAATTTAATTTCTTGTCCCGGTACACCCTCCACCAATCCGCTTGACAGTGCCACTTAATGAGATACGACCATACGGTGGCGCTGTTGTAACACTAGTGCGGGGGTGGGCAACCAAAATAATGCATTTTTTGTCGATTTCGTTAACAAAAGCCGCAATGCTTGTGGTGTTCCTGAATAATTAACATCAGGAAGCAGCCCCTAAAAGAGCCGCATGCGGCTCCGGAGCTGCAAGTTGTCGACCACTGCACTAGTAGTGCATCGAATGTATGGTATAGCATTCAGGTACCACTGGCTTACAGCAGTGGCTCCCAGTGCTTGGTGTAAATGCAACATTCTCTAGGGAGAAGCCGCGTAATCTGCTCTGGCTCTCGCTCTCATGCGTCACAATTCATTTTGCCTGTCTCATTACCCATGATTTATTCACCTATTTTTTTTTTTTACAGATGTTCAAAGATGACCTGCAGCACCTCCGGTAATTACTTCTTATGCTTGTGATGTCAGTTCATTACTTCACGTTGTTATGCATCATCTCCTCGAAGCCTACCTTACAAGCGCATTGTGAGGGCGGGGGGGGGGGAGCCCTGGAGGAAACTAATATTTGACATTCTTATTTATCAATAAATGTCATCAGGGTTAAGTAATATGAATTTGTGCCAGGTCTTGGTTTAAAGAGGGCACACCAACTTAACGCTACTAACGAGTTGTTTAATATTCCGAAGGAAGATAGAATGTAAAATTTAACAATAACAATTTTTATATCAGTTGCCTTTAAATTTGCTATCGTATGTCACATTCTTAGCACTTTTTTTGCTTTGGTGTACTTGAAGTTTGAATGAAGAATGCTTAAAAGTTCTTGTGACGAGGTGAAATTCAAGAGTCACACCCCTAACGTCCCTCTGTGGTAGTTCTAGCTGGTGGGACAGTGGTTTATGAGTATAAGTGTGGAGAAACCTGATTATGCAGATTTACCTGCTATAAAAGGGGCAACAAAGAAGGGGTTTGGGGGCTTGGTGGTTGCAGCAGCCAGGAGCCGGACGCCTCTACCTACTGCTGGAGTGTGGAAACACCACACAAAAGGGAGGCAGCAGGGTTCGACATACTGTGAGTGCAGAGACACCACCCCAAGGGTGCCACCTGCTCTAAATACTGTTGATGCGGATACACCACCCCAAAGGAGCTTACCTGCTCTTATCTACTGCTGCAGTGTGAACAAACCACCCAAAGGGAGCCACCAGTGCTCTACCTAATGCTAGACTGTGGAGACACCACACCAAACAAGGCACTAAAGCTCTGCATATTGCTACAGGCTAACTATTAAGAACTGGCACACGCAAGACCATGAGTCCCTGTAAACGAGCTTGGCGGTAGGTGTATAAGGGTGATAGAGTCGTTTGGTTGCATTGTGTGCACAAACGGGTTTTCTTTTTCTTTATTAAATCACATACAGAGCACACAACTCGAACAATACTTGTGGCGTTCTGCCTGATCTATAAAAGTGTGACGAAACAACCAACCCGCCTGGTGTGTTACGTCTCTCCCCAAGGAATCACACTCCTTCCAACTATTCCGAATTGTTACATTTGTAGTGCCGATGGGGCGGGAGACAGGATGCTTGAGGAAGTACCTTCTTTATTAACACTTAGGTTCACAGGTTCACCCTCGTTCCTTCCAAGTCATATAGCCTAGCCTAGACACAACCTTGACACGCGTTACACTGACGATGGCGTCAACCGAGACAGTCAACAACGATCCGGCCGCGCAATTATTGAGTGAAGGCGGCGAAGAAGACAGTGACGACGAGATGAGTCCACTTCCCAGAACCGGCAGCCCGGAGCTCTCGCTCTCCGCTGCTTTTATCCTACTCGGCATGGCCTGGCTCCGCCCTGGCCGCGCCTCCCTTCTCGAACCCACTAGCGGGTTCCAGGGGCTGCCAGATGAGGTTTTCCGTGACCCTTGCCCCAGTTCCTCCGCCCTGCCAGCACCCCCGTGTATATGCTCAACGGCGTGTGCGCTAACTGTCCACCGCAGTTGCCTCTGCTGTCCAGCAGTCGCCGCTGCTATCCAGCAGTCAGCGCTACGTCACTCCAGATTTAAGGGGGGGAGGTCCAGGATTTGTCCAGCCGTTTGTAATTATTCAGAGGCATAGCTTCAGAGAAGTGTGATTCCTTGAGTTGGGAAAAACCACAGGATGGATTGCGAGAAAAATTATAGAACTTGAAGAGTTCGTGTTCGTGAACATAAGGCAGATCTGAAACAGGGAAGGACCAATACCTCGGCCGTGGCTGATCATTGTTTTCATGCGATGGGCTCACACACAGCCACCTCTCTCACAGAGCTCAAGGTTTTTGCTTTGTGATCTTCCATTAACATGCTAATCTCTCACATTAACATAGCCACTTTAGGGCACCCGCCGTGAAAGCCTCTCAACGATCTTACATTATCATGCAAATTTTTACTGGGCAGCCCTTTGATTGGTGGGAAAACCCACCACCACCGCGGTCACTGCCCACCACTTACATTAACATTGGCTGCTGACATTTGGGCTATGCCCATTTCAAACCTTTCTAAACAGTTTACCTTTAGAAGCTAACCCCCTATTCCTGATGACGACCGCCTGTGTTGTGATCGAAACGTTATAGTTTTTTGTTGTTTTTTTGTTATTTTCGTCAAACCTATCTACGTGACTTTACCGAAAGACCTAAATAATTTGAAGAGTTGCGTAAATAGGTGGAATTACTGGGATATCAAGGGCCAGAACTCCAGAAGTTTTTTTTTTTAATGGGAGGAAAGAGTATTACAGAGAGAAGTGAGAACGAGAGAGAAGAAGAGAGGAGAGAACAGCAAGAGTGGAATTGTAAGTCCTGAAAATAAAGTCTGAGGCTATGACAACTGACTAGGACACAGAGAGGACAAGGGTTTGAGACAACATCTGTGATACAAGCTAAGGCTAGTATTCTTAAACTACCACATTTTGAGGAATGCAAGATTGTTTGGATTCATTTTTTGTAATGATTCGAGATATATGCTGTTTGCCATAAATGGCGATTTGCCAGAATATCCTGGCGAATTTCTCGATTATGCTGGATGTAATTACCAGCGAAATATCGTACTCAAATTGTAAATGTTGTGGATTTTCTCTCCAACACACTGGTGGGCTGAAGTAGTAACTATTTGGCGTTTTGTTTACATGACAATTCCCTTACTAATTGGCTGTGTCGGGTGGTGGAGGGTTACAACACATTCATACTTAAGTGATCTAACCAAAATATCAATACGTTTTTGACTTACGGAATCGGTTGGAGGAGACATTTCAGCTCGCGCAGCAAAACCTTCAACACGCAGCAGCTAAACAGAAGCGACTACGACCCACGGACTAAGGACAGGAGGGTGGAAGTCGGGGACAGAGTGTTGTTGCTATTGTCTACTGATCACACCAAATGACTAATGGGATGGAAGGGTTCATTTGTAATAAAGAAAATTGGAGAGGCTGACTACGTCGTGAATGTAAATGGGACAGAACGCGTGTATCATGCAAATTTACTTAAGAAATGTGTCGAACGGGAAACTTGAGGGTGAAAACCAAACTGAGCAGCTACCAGTAGTCAAGTGTGGAGTAGTCCACGTGGAAATTGTGAAAATGCCGATATATTGCTGGATGCTGAGGTAAAGACCGGAGAGCTTGAAATGACTCGCATGCCATCTCCAGGACCTCGGGAGGCCTGGGAGGATGTCATTGCGAATTATGATTTATCCACTAACCAAAAATCACAATTGATCTCCATATTAGAAACATACAGCTGTTCTAACGGACCAGCCCGGTAAGATTAATTTGGCCGAATTAAAAATTTCACTTATTGATCCAAAACCAATTCCTCAACGTCCATATCCAGTGCCCTTGGAAATTAAAAACCAAATTGATAAGGAAATAGAGAATATGATTGACATGTCTTCTTGATTTTTTCGGTAAAGTCACGTAGAAGGGAAGTAATAAAATAATAAAAATAAAACATAACAAAATAAAATAATTCTCACGACGTTTCGGCTACAACGCAAGCAGCCGTCTTCAGGTGAAGAATGAGACACTGCCAAGCTAGGAGCTTATATATAAGCTGGGTTGGAGGTGGAAGAAGAGCGCCTTAACAAAAATAATGTGCATATCAAGAGGAATTTAGCATATTCATGGGAAATGCGTAGGAGGTGGGCGGGGGGGTTTCAAAGTCATATTATGCCCATGCATTATGCAGGATCAGCAGCACCAAGGGAGGGTGCAGGGAGTAGCATTAACAAAGGAAAGGAATGTTAATAGTATGTAGCTGCAGTTACTAAACAACCACGTAGAAAACTAAAGTATAAACTACATAAAAAACTAAAGTATAAACTGCATAGCATCATCAGTATACTTACTATACTCTACAATAAGCTGAGTTACTAACAGCAAGTAATACATTACAATTCTACGTCGTAAAAATTATTTAATATGCTTCCATCTAAACTTTATTCTCTTACATCACACGAGAATACACCGTACTATATACTGCCATAGATAAACCAAACATTAAATTATATACTGTATTGCTATAAACCACCCTATACCTTTTAATATAACACTATGTATTATTCTACCCACCCTAATGTGTATCACACTGCTATATGTTTACTATACAATTACGATACTATATATTACTTTGTACAGTGTATTAAGCATATAAATGGTATACTATTTGTTATTATACACTGTACCATTGACCGTCGTGTCTATGGGTGAGTCGTGGGGGGAAAACTTGCAGCGGAGCAAAGAATCCATTCCCTGCGGAGAATACAATGCCAGTGAGTGGAACGCGGTCTGAAAGTCACCGTAAACGTGAACACAATCAGTTAAGATCCGAAATGGTTTATTACGTCCTTCCAATGATTGCTAAGCCAGAATCCATCTTCTCGGTTGAAATTGTCTGTGTTTGTATATGTGGATCGCCTCATGAACGAATCTCTCATGATAGCCAGATGGCTTGCAGAGAACCTCTGTCTTGGAGAAGTCAATGTCATGTGAGCCCACTGAGTTGTAACAGTGATCTGCCACGGCTGAGGTGTTTGTCCTACCGTGTTTCAAGTCTGCTTTATGTTCACGGATGCGGTCCGAGACATGTCGTTTGGTTTCCCCAATGTAACTGCTACCACAGAGGCAACTTAGTTTGTAGACGCCAGGGTACTGTATGTCTGGAACCACATCTTTTACAGACGGGACCAGATCACGGATTTTATGTACTGTGTTGAATCGGACCTGGATCTTGTGTTTAATCAGGATTTTGGAGATCTTTTTTGTGACCCCAGCAATGTAGGGTAAGGTGATGGTCTTGAAAGGCTCCTCAACAGGATCCTTCTTGATGGTTGGAGTAATGGCTTGGCGGATTGTGTAGTCAGAGTAACCATTAGCCTTAAGAGCTTGGCGTACGTGTTTGAGTTCACTGGCAATGT